GAAAGAATTAAATAAGTTTAATTGTTACTAGTGGTAAAAAGAAATCGGGACAACACTAGAACATCAGCATACACCTCTCTTCTCTATGACATCTGTCAATGTCATTACGAAATTTTGAGAATCTCGCGCCATTCTGGTGAGATCATTAGATTAACGTTGTTACAAGTATATTAATGATAATTACTAGTAAATTCTTAATTTCGCGTGGTTATTTTTATGTAAGTTGTAATATAAAATATGCTAAGCACAAGAATTTCAAATAACTTGTAAAACAAGTCATTAAAAAATCAATAAGTTGACAACTGCAGAAATATCATTTCAAAATCGAATTTTAATTAATTCCTTTTATCGTATTTTAAAGAAATATCACAGTTGTAGGTGAACAGTTATATTTAAGGCAATTATTTTTTTTACATTACCTTTGTCCTGTAGAGCGGATTGGAGAAGTCCCAGCCCGGCGCCACGAAAAGATATCCGCATTTTGATATCTTTCGACTGGCCTGCAACAACACAATACAAATTAACATCGATAAACAAAGATATATCTCAATAAATTACTATATCTGAACAGATTAATAACGTCAATATACAAATTGTATTTCATTCATACATTCAGTCAAATTGATGTTAAATCAAACTTTATGAATAAAGTACTCAGTTTTTGAATAATCTATCGCACAACTGTTTTGTGGCCCTTTGATTCTCAGCTTATGGAGATGAGAACACTACGCGATTTTTAGTTGTGCAACTAAACAATTAGTGGCTGCGAAACAATCGACAATATCACACCAGTAGTGCGATAGTACAGTCAAAGGTTGCGTTGCGTTTAAGAAACGACAAGGCGATTATGAAAGAATTGTATAACGAAAATAATAAAGTGTCCAAGTAACAGTTGTATCGATGTGTCACCGAGGGCCGTCGACCTGCATTACATCACAAGTACAGTCCCACAGACAAGTTTCGCAGAACAGATCTCGATTCGCGACCACATCGACGTCTACACTTATTAAGTCGACCGGGGGAATGATACGCAACCGGATTGTATGAAAGTGTCAGTTCAATAGGAGACAGTAATGCAAGAAATGTTAATAAAAACAAGATATGACGACTTCTGATGCAAGACTTACAAGTACCAGATAAACCTTTAGGTTAATGGCAATAGAATGAATGAAACAACGCTTGAAAGAGAAGTTTCAGATTTATTTCAACACGATTAAAGATGTCTTAAAAAATCCAAGATTTAAGAAAAGATAAATCAATTGTTATTTATATTGTGACAGATATTCCAAAATTAACAATCAAAAAAAATATTGGAGACTCAAAGAAACACAACTAGAGTCCAGGAGATGCGCATACACTCAATATAAAGCACAGAAATCCTTAAACAATTATGGTAACCATAATTCAGTCAAATGCAATAAATTAAAAAAAATGTTAGTGTAACCTGTAACGCTAAACTTGACCACAGCGTCAGCGGGCACAGGACAACGACACATCTGTCCGTCTGTCGCTGGCTAATGCGAATATAAGAGGTCTATTGCCCTCGCACCGCTCACCGTTTTAATGAGGATCGCCGCTTGGGAAACAGGGCATTCAATGGCCACAATGCAACACTCAACACGACTCGACAATGTGTTTCAGAAGCAAAAGCTCTACAAAAATTAGCATTCAGATTTTTTGATCCAGAATTAATTTCGGGAAAATCTTCGTGGTAACATGAAAGATTCTAGTGCATTATTAATAATTACATTCACATTTTCGTCTTTAAATAAAGCAGAAAACTTTAATACAAACAGTCTATCCAAGTTTAGCTGAGCTGGCGTCTTTCTTTCATACTTTTTTTATGAATTTGTGGTTTGTGTATTTCCTTGTGATTTCACCAAACAACGCTGACCGCTCAGAGAAGTTTAACATGTATCTATGGTAATAAATCGCGTTTATAGGTCAATTGTACACAACAGCAACAGAGATTTAAACATCAGACCATTAGCGTGTGCGGTTGGACACTTCCGACGTTAATTCCTGCGAGATAGTAGGGCTGTAGCAAATCGGCGACTCCGAAGGCGCGGTAGCTTTCCCCCATATCAACAAACGGAGACACAGCAATATCTGTGTCAGGGTTCTGCGGAACCGGTCGCGATGGCGGGACCGTTAGCGGCCGTATCGAATTCGTACCGAACTTGCGCCTACCGCGCCCGCGCCGCATTGTCGCCGCAGATGACTATCGTCTACCAGCCCTTGTTTACCTCACCGTTGTTAGAATCTACATTAAAATCTACAAACCGGAGAGAATCTTAGATTACCATTGTTCGTTTCATTATACAGAAACATCTATGATTCTCCTTTTACAATTACGCTAATGACGGGTCTTTAACATCTTACATAAATGCTATAATATCTTATTAAGTTACCAGTACTTTAAGTTGTCAAATGATATAATAATACCAGGGATAACTGTCAGCGTAATCTGAAAGTAATAAAATTATACGAAATGTGGGAAAGTTTCTACATTGTTGGTAATGTGTGAACGTATTGCTTGTAACTGAATGGCGGTGCTCGAGACAAGAGATAAATACATATAAAGAAAAGGTAATTCAATTGAGAGTATTATCTCAAAGGGTAGTTGCAAAATACAGAGAATAAAGTAATGTCAATTATTTCAATAAAGCAACTTCGTCCGAGATATGTAATTTCATAATATCAACCGATTGTAAGGTTACGGAGTCAAAATGATAATAAGCATAGACAGTGGCTACGTGTCTTAAAATATGGTTTAATACGCTATACAAAACGGTTGTACATAAATTTGTCGCGACAGACGTAAAAGTACTCGCTTGTGGAATCAGTGCTTGCCTTATTTATTATCCACCCCCCCCAACAGTCTTAAGTTACAGGCGATTTGTAACTTAGTGTAATGGTCTAAATTATGATATTTGCGTCACAGATGTAAGGTGCTAGTTACAATAGTTCTTTTTAGTATAAAATGGAGCTTTCAAAGTCATATCTTTAAACCTTAAATTTCACGCATTTTTATTATTAAACTAGCTGTTCCCGTGCGACTTCATCCGCATAAAATTGTGAAAATTTTGTTTTATTGTTTACTTGTGTCAAATTATCAATTGCAAATGTCAAAATGACATGCCGATGGCAATCTTGTGTCCTTGATGTTGGCAGCAACTTATGGTCTCTTTCCCACATTAGAGTTTTTATCCAAAATATTTACACCCTAAGTTTAATGGCGTGAAAATATATAACCTAAAGCGTGACGTAAGTGTAGGGCTTTTTATTTAAAAAATAAATATTCAAAAATATGCTGTAATTGCTGACATCTTAGGCAACAAAGAAGTGTGTTTACTCTTTATTATAATAGTATATATAGTATAGATATTGTTTGATTTTATAAGTTTACATTTATGTTAGTTAAGTATGTAACTTAAACCAACAGCCTTGCCGATAAAGCCCAGGTCTATGTTATAATTTACAAGTAAGACCGGCGTTAAGTCTCGCATTACTGTGACGTACCGCTTAATCAATTCAAAATTTCGATATTTATGCCCGCGTTATTGGCCTCCGTGGGAGTGAAGGCGCAGGAAGCGTGGAGGTCAACGTAGATTGGTCGTCTATTGGCTAAGATTGCATGATTTATGCGATATAGCAATTATGCACATCCTGTTTGCATTTAATTTATAATGTTTTAAACTAATCTAACATAACACATTAATGTAAGTTAAGTTACGATTAAGTATCTTACTTAGTAAACAGTTATAACTTAAAGGTTCGAGAAATTTAAATTATCAGCGATAACTTTTGGTAGAGTCGTGATCTCTGAACTGACTTGTTTATCGCTTCGCTTAACTTTCTTAGATAAATTTAGAAATTAAATGATTTAATGTAAACAGAAATAAGACAGTGGTGATAAGGTAGACGAGTGATGGATGGAGGCAGTAAACGGTGTTGCAACTAAAAAACGATTAAACTCATGTATAGAGTTTCAAACAGTTATAGAGCGGTCATTCGTCAAGTCACCAAAAAACCTTTTAGACTCTTAATGAAAAATATGAAATGTCTCAAGTTTTTAACAATTTCCTTTATTCATTTCAGGAGTTCCGGAGGTCTTTCGTGGCGGAGTGTGGGTGTTGCGAGAGGTACGGGAGCGTGGGAAGTGGGCGCTTGCACTTTCGTTCCATCGGTCGCCGCCTGCTAACTAGCTGATATTCAGTAATCATGCTGCAGTAATGATCCTAACAAGTGAGGAGAAAGTCTGAAATACACCTTTATTATGGGTACATATGTTTCAATGTAAACGCTGTTTCCCAAAATCATTCTAATTGACAATGACATAAGTGTCATATTGGTATGTTTAAATAAACATTAAGATACTCTGAATAAGAAAGTGTTTTTTTGTTCTTTTATAACTGAATAATCGTAAATTCCGAAGATACATAATTATAAAATATCCATATTATGTATGGTGATAAAATTTCTTAAAATAAACCATAACGACCAAATTATCCGGTTCTTCCCGAGATTACGACTTATCTGATATCGTGTCATTTAAAAAATACTTTCCGTGAAAAGTAAAAACTGTATCGAATCGATAAAAACGGTCTAAGGCCCGTCATACACGGATTACTTCGAGCAATCTGTATCGACAGCGATAGGCCCTGTATACAAATGCTAAAATTTCGCGGTTTATGCGCCGGCTGTTCAACGTTCTGCTCGTGTATGGCAGCCGTAAATACCACCAAGAATAATGGAAAAATCAACAAGCGTCACTTTCTAAACGTAGCGACGACAATGCGATATGAAAGCGGCAAAAACATAACAACAGATCGAAGATATTGATGGAATCACGACATAGACGTAACTATATGGATATATAATGAGAACGCTCGTTTACACGACTCGTGTGAATGTTTTGCTTTACTTGAAATGATTTCCTATTTCGTTCCTAATACTTTTCTAATGATAACGTATATCTGAGCTTTTCGATGTTTTATTGTAAACTAGCTGTAGCTCGCGACTTCGCCCACGTGTAAAAAGATAATCTTTTACTCGCTGATAAATTAGCTCTCTAATGGTAAAAGAATTTTGGCACAGTAGTTTTTGAGTTATTTCAATAGATACAAAAATACTCCTTCCACTTTATAATATTAGTAAAGGTTACAAACGTAGAGGATTTTAAATAGAATATAAGACTTTGAGAAACACCTTAAAAATTTCGTAAAATTACTAGCTTTCACCCGCGACTCCGTCCGCGAATTAAAAAAAAATCGAAATTAGCCTATGTCTTTTTCAAGATTATCCTCTACATCTGTATCAAATTTCATCGAAATCTGTTTAGCCGTTTAGGAAAGAAATTGTAACAAACATTCATCCATCCATTTATAATATTAGTATGAAGT